CTGGACAAAGTATTAGATCCTTTTGTAAAATTAGTGATTAAAGGTGTATTAAACTGCAGTTTTGGATGAACAAATTCCATCATATTTGATTTTTGAGGTTTAATATAGTGCATAAGACTAGGCTGTTTGGTCAAACCTGCGAATACCAGTGTTCAATACTGCACTTGGGCCTCTTCCCAATTTTTCTCATCCAACACTAACATTATCCTCACATTTTCTCTTGTCTTGCACATCCTGATTGTGTTTTCTTTTTGTTGCATCTGCAACAATCACTTCAATCTTTCCCTGTCATTGCAAGTTTCACATTCTTACCACTCCTTCAGCGAAGTTTCTTCTGAATTTTCTATCAGATTTCTCAATCACTGTTTACTATTCATTGCCTTGAGTTATGCCCTTCCACGCAAGAAACATTCTTTATGCATTCTATCAAAAACGTTTGCAATTTTGAAGCCTTCTATTAAGTCATCTCTCTGCTATCTTTCTGCAGAAAAGATTTTAGCAAGGTTTTAAGAATCATATAAATTATAAAAGCAAATCAAAATCTCTGGCTAGACTTGGGTTTGGTACCTCAACTGAAATCAAAGGCGATCTTCTAATGTTAGCCTGTGTTCAAGACTTCCCATTTATATATTTCTCTCCAGTTATTTTTATTATTTCTCTTTTGATAATAGGATTATCGACCCGCAAGTGCAAGCAGCATGCCAGTGAATTTACCTGTGACCCCAGAATAGCTGCAGAAATCTGATTTATGTTTGGAAGCAACAAAACCAAGCAGGATTCAATCTTTAACATACATAAATGGACTTCCCACCTCGGATCGTTCTAAGATTGTCTGTATTGGGTTAATTACACATCCAAATTGTTTTTCGCTTTAAAATAAAGTGTACTGTATGAAAGAAAGTTGTTGTTTAATGCAAAATGATTTCCAGCTGTTCTTTTTTCCAGCCTATGAATGGAAACCAAATGCAACATCTTCTATTTTCCTGCCCAACTTATATTAATTCCACATAAAACAAGGGATGAGCCAAGAACCACCTTAATGTCGATAGTACGAGATCATACCGTTCATTATGTTTTGTCAGTCGTTCACTAACACAGGTGAAAAACTTTTTTTGTTTTATAAAAAGGCTTTACTGAACATGACAACTCCCATCAGATGGAGAAAACATTGGGAAGTAAGCTCTTACCAGTGCAAACGAAGAGCATGCAGAAACGCAGAAAGACCCTCCATGATGAGGAGAATTGCCACTGTCAGCACAGCAAAAGCAGCAAATATGAAGAACAGGAGAAAAGATCCACCAAAGCTGTTTATTGACAGTCCAATGTGCATAACCATGGTCCATAACACTTCAGAGAGCTCTGAAACAGGGAAAATTTGATGAATTTTAAACTGTTTTAATAGATTTGTCTCAAGTAAATATCATTAGGCTAGCTACAAATAACAGCTACAAACTACTGATTTAAAAATCGATGTAACCAAGAAGACAATCTTATATATTTTTTGTATGTTTCTACTTAAAATCTCCAATCTGAACTTAAAATTCAACTTTAAATTTACCAGACATGAAAAAAAGTTGCACTGCTCTAGTTAAGACAGAATATTTGCCATATTTGTTTTTCTAAAGTCAAGATTTCAGCCCGTCTACTTTTGCACAGGGTCATGGATCTATCAGTACATTTGTCCTTCACACTCAAAACAGATTAACTACACTCCCTATCTAGGGATTCAGCTCACGCCAACATTTATAATTGCTTTGCATGAACTGCCATCGGATTTAAATTATGGCTGACTTCCATTCCCTTTAATGGATTCATTGGCACTAATATTCAGGTTGAACAAAATGCTTTCTGCAGAAAGTCATGGAGCCAAGCATTCTCCCCACTGGACTCTAGCAGATGTCACATTGTCCACTGTGTTACATTTTGCAATTATCCCTTCCTTGGAAAAGTACCTCAATTTGAACAGCAACTGAGTTACAACAAAACCCAATTCTGTCAACATTTCAAATTGGTAACAATCCACAGGGTGATGATAGCACTGGTAAGAACCACCCTGCAAATATAAATTCCTTTTCTGTTGAAGCCAACTGTTGACAATCTTTTAATCGGATTACCTGCCAATTCATTCCATTTAAAAATAAAGGACAAAAAGGTACTTAAATTCTTAACAATCACTGGCAGTCCTAGTTTCATTGACAAAATTCAGTAATAGCAATATCAATATTTAATCACAACCATATGACAACAACTCAGCTTTTTCAACATTTTCTGCCTGCCAAAGCTAAAAACAAATTCACTGGGTAGCACATTTGACATTTCATACACTTGATCCTCAAAGTTACTTAATTTTGAGGTGTAAGATCTTCACTGTTTCTTAAAATGTCAGCCTTGACACCATAATTAACACTTTCATCTCAGTCAGAATGTTGTGGGTTCAGGCCATTCCTGGATTAAAGTGCAAATAAATTGAACATTGCAATGCAGTAGGAAAGAGATCTGCCCTGTCGAATTTGCCACAAGAGACAAATAACTGGCTGAAGCAGTTATTAAGAACTTAGGGAATAATTCAGTCACCACTAACGGATAAACTTGGAATTAATGCAATTGCGTTTCATGCCTCTGGATTAGGGCAATACAGCAGAAAACTGAAATATATGAACATCAGTCGCTCAGAAATCCATCTTATCTAGTTCGAAACACAAGTGGTATATACATATAAATGTGCATCTATGTTGTACTTACGTGCATGAGCCAGACTCAGCGCCCACAACCGCAAGTAGGAGGCAGTATTAGAAATACATCCCAAGCAGTACTCAATGGTATGGATGGCCTGATGTACAGCAACATCACCAAAGTTAAACTATGAGTAATAGATTAAAAGAGAAGTCTCAGTGCAAAGTAACAGTAGGACTTAATACTGTTCATGTGCAAAACAGTATTAATTCTGATGTTCCAAAACATTACTAGAAAACTGTACTATTGAATATGGAAAATGCAAATATCCAAAACCTTATATTTACAGCTCAAGCCTGACGTTTTTTTTTAAAAATACAACTTGTTGGAAGTGTGGGAAACAGTGATGAAATTGGAAATGCTTTGTGATAATCTGCATTCAAGTCAGATAAATTAAATGACTTATGAAACGTCCAATGGACTTCAATTCAACCTCAGAAAAACACTGCAACTGCACACGTTTCCTGCACAGCATTCTTTGGGTCAGCTGTATTGAAATGGCAACTTATGTAGGATTGAGTATCTTGGGCCCCCACACATCTTATACGGAGACTGCCCAAACTTAACTTCCATCAAGATTATAACCAATAGAAAATTAATGTTGGATTCAAACACGATCCTGCAGTGCACAAAAAATACAATGACAACTTCACAAAAGGATCTTCATGCAGGCTTGTGTTAGGGAATATAACAGCATTAAAATTACAATTCCAAAGAGCTTGACATCCCCAAAGTGACATGGAGCTGGGGGAAGTGGACAGAAAATTGACAACCTTAGCTGGTCTTGTTAGGAGCAATGTTGAGACAGGAGTGCCTAAATCACTTGTAGCATGAAACTTTATTGCTTAAATGCAGAATTTTCATGACTGATATTCAAAGTTTGTCATATTCCAAAGCATTTTGTACAATTAAAAAAAGTTACTGAGTGAGCTATGTAAATGGGCAATGAAATCAACAAGAGTGTCTGGACAAACACTCAAAATTAGGTATTAGGTGCAGCCTTACCAATTCTTCCACAGTGGGCTTGCAAAAAAAGTTACATGTTTAGTGCAGTTAAATGCAATGAGAACATGAATGCATAGTTAGTAATTATTAATATTCATGTACAATACAAGGAAAAAGCACATCCATTTTTATTGAAAATCACCAAAATTGAATCTCTCAAACAGCACCAGTGATTTAAAAACAATTTGTGCATTTTCTGTAACATTAGGGTCAAAACGTCCCTGGGTTTTGTTTTAAAACCAAAAAAATTGAGGCAGAAATGGAAAAAAAGGAGTTTTATCCACTCGAGTTAAAATGAAGATTTCACAGAATTGACAGAATCACTAATTCTTACAAGGGACACTAAACCTTCAATACAAGTGGAATGTACAATAAAAAATACAAAAGAACATAAAAAGGTCAGAGTTCCATTTGATTATAAAGCCTAAAAAAGGAAGACTTTACAGCATTTTCAATGTAACTGCAAATCCAAACAAACATTCTTTAAAAATATTTAAACAAATAATAAAACAAAATTGCAGTGAAATTAAAAACACAGGTTTCATGCAAATAAACATTGTTATTAAAGAATCATGATACTCACATATTTTAGCAAGTTAAATAATCTGGTTCTAAATTCAAAAAAGTTAAGATTCATAATCATGCTATGAACAATTGCAGTATCATACTGATGCTGGGCAACAATGCTCAGATTTACAAGGCTTATCCAGGCTTTTCAAAGAAAGAAAAATTCAACTCGGTAAGATGATTAATGACTGGCATTACCCTGTCCCAAAAACATCCATGAAACAAAAAACAAATTCATTTGCCAGGCAAAATGGAGAACAGTTAAAATATTGGATTACCTCAAAAATTTTTAAAATGTCATTAATGAACTATATACAACAATATATGTCTTCATGTACCTGTTATTCTTCAATTTGTACTGACAATTCACAATGAATTTTTCTTCAGATTATAAGCTACAGGAACACCATAAGGCTAAAGATCAACTTCCTCGTTAGGAAACCTAAATCTGCAAACAAACAAGCTCTAGTTAATGCATCATGTTATACTTACTTCCTCTCCATCCTCTGAATGGGTATCAAGCTGATCATGTTGGATTATCTCAGCATCCTCCTCGGTTGGTCCATTCCCAACTCTTATTCCTCCAAAGTTGTGTGTCCCCTATGAAACAGGAAAACAAATTTGAGATGTGGCAAAAATCCACAATCAAACTTCTAGTCATCAACTAATCTTTCTATAGTGCACTAAAATGCTAACAGACATAACAATTTGTTTTTCCTTTGTTTAATACAGCCAGCACTTATAACTAATTTGCTCTGTTATATTTACCTATCGCTTACAATCACAGAATCCCTACACAGTGTGGATGCAGGCCATTCAACCCATCAAGCCCACACTCACTCTGAAAGGCATCCCACCCAAACCCACCCCCCACCCCATCCCTGCATTTCCCACCCTCGATACAATGAGCAATTTAGCATAGCTAATCCATCTGACCTGGACATCTTTGGACTATGGGAGGAAACTGGAGCACCAGGAGGTAACCCACGCAGACACAGGGAGATTGTTTGTGTGGAGTTTGCACAGACAGTCACCCAAGGCTAGAATCGAACCCAGGTCCCTGGCACAGCAGTGCTAACCACAGAACCATCGTACCACCTCTTCTTCAAACTTCCTCTGTTTTACTGCTCTGCTTGCTACAAAAACATAATCTTGATCTTGTTGCAACCGGAATAGTTTTCTCCAGCACCCAACTCAATTTTCATATTGGCCTACTGATATCTTTTCAAACTTCCTATTTTTATTTTCTCTATTTTCTAGAGTCTTGTTCAGAATTCAGCTAATGATGATAGCACAAGTGAGAGGACGTGATCCTAGACCGATATCTACACTCCGGACTGTGCGAAGACATCTTGGAACAGTGTGCGTTCTTTGCCCCATCATAGATCTGTTTCAAAGCGTTTAAAAGTATTTGAAGTTGCTTCATGAAAATCAACAATTCCCAGAAACCACTGACATGGTGAGATAGTGATATAGAACTAACATCACCATACTAATGTGTGGTCCAGGTTAGTGACCATCTCCAACAGTAAAGGATCCAAGCACTTTGAATCACTGAATACTTATCTACACTCAGGGTTACCATTGATCATAAACTGAACCAGACCAGCTACACAAGTATTATCGCCACAAAAGCAGATCAGAGACTGCAATTCTGCAGCGAATAACCCACCTCCCGATTTCTTAAAGTCCACCATTTATAAAGCGCAAGTCGTGAGTGCAACAGAATACCCTCTACTTGCCTGGACAAGTGCAGCTCCAACATCAATTAAGGCAGCCAACATCACCCAGGGCAAAGCAGCCCACTTGACTGGCATCATGTTTACAAATTCTCACTCCACTACTCACGCACAGTGGCAGCAATGTGCACTACCTACTCTTTATTTTGCTTTCTTTCTCCCGGTCAAATCAAAATGAATCACTTCATACTGCTGTTTGTTGAACTTCATCTGCCATTTGTCTGCACAATCCACCAACTATCTGCATCCTTTTTAAGTTTTACACTATCCCCTCATAGTTCACAATACATCCACGGTTCGTATCATCTGAAAATTTTGAATTTGTGCCCTATAAAGTAAGGTTTAGCTTAACATACACCAAGAAATGCATGGATCCCAACACCAATTCCCAGCAAACTCCATTACAAACCTGTTCTCCATCTGAAAAGCATCCACGAAACCGTCACTCAGCCAATTTCATACTTACGTTGTCACAGAATCCCTACAGTGTGGAAGCAGGGCTTTTGGCCCATCAAGTCCACACCAACCCTCTGAAGAGCATCCACCCAGACCCACCACTCCACCCTGTAATCCTGCATTTCCCATTGCTAATCCACCTAACCTGCACATCCCTGGACACAATGGGCAAATTAGCATGCCCAATCTACCTATTCTGCATATATTTGGACTGTGGGAGGAAGTTCACACAGATACAAAAGAGAACATGCAAACTCCACACAGAGGCAGTCACCCTAGACTAGAATCAAACCTGGGTCCCTGGCGCTGAGGGGCAACAGTGCTAACCACCGTGCCCCACTATGCCACCTTTTGCTCCTTCTACACAATGAACTATAACTGCTCAAACCTGTTGCATGTGACGCAATCAAACGCTTTCTGGAAATCTACATAAACCACATCAACAGCATTTTCTTCATCAAAACACTCCAGCAATTTAGTTAAAGGCAATTTGTCACCTTGTATTTTACTGAACCATGCAGTTTCTGCCATCTGCAGAACTAGAAGATAAACATAGAAATGTACATTTGAATTTAGAAACATGTGTATTAAAAACCTTACCAAATGTTTTCTCCGCAAATGTTGATGGCGCAGTACCAGTGGTTTCACCACAAGCATGCACGGAACACACAGCAAAGCTACAATCACCAAGAAGGACTGGAGACCTCGCTGTTAAAACAGAAGACCTAATGTATTACTACACTTTGGTGAAAAGTTAATAGTTACAGCTAGCATACATTAGGCCGAGAGGAGAAGAAATTTTATTTCAATAATTCAGGATAACCTATCTGCTGGTATACACAACAAAAGACAAGCCCAGGTTGCTTTAAAAGTATCATCTGCAGACTTTTTGAAATGGGATTTCAATTAATAGCTGGCAGCAGCAAATTAATCAAATCTGTTTATATGTGTTCTTAACCCTTGTCTAGAATCTAAATTTCCAAGTAGTTACGTACCTGTCCTTTATACAGATACTTCATGGTTTTATCATTGTAACTGAATAGGAACATATTGATGAAGTGGATGAGAAGACTGGGAGCATCTTTCGATGTGCTAGCATCATAAGCAGTCCACTTGTAAAAGATGAGGATGACAAGGTAGCCAAACAAACACAACATAAAAATTATTTCGGGAATAAAGCTAAAATAGATGTTCAGTGGCTTTTTAAAATATCTACGAATAAAAAGAAGAAAAAAAAAACATTAGAATTTGAATTGAACAATTTAGCACTTCAATAATGTCTATTCTTGCATGCAATTGACAAGTACCCCATAAATTGTTTGTCTCATCCAATGTGCCTAACAATTAATTTAGTTAATACCCCAGCAGGTTAACACATTATACTGGACCAGGAGATAGCTATTTCTAAGACCATAAAACATAGGAGTAGAGGACTATCAAGTCCACTTCACCATTCAATGAAATCATGGCTGATCTGATAATCCTCAACTCCACCTTCTTGTCTTTTCCCTACAAGTGTCAATTTACTCACTGATTAAAATCTGTCCATCTCAGCCTTTAATATACTTCGTGTATGTGTGACAAGGGAAAGCATTCTATAGTACTACAGTAATAGTATCAGGTCGTAGCATTGGTTGGTCAAATCTGAATTTGAACTTCAGACATCTAAAGAAACAAGATTAACCTTCTCCTAAGTTACTTATTTTTAAGATACACAATATAGCACAAGTGAAAGTTTTGTTTCAAAGCTTGTGCCTTTCTCAACCCTAATTGAAACTTTGTAAAGAGCCCCCAACTGCCAAAATCTTCCCCACATTAACATTGTAACTACTGAAAAAGTGTGTCAGTAACAGCTTAAAACTGTAGCTCACTGGCCCATATAGTTTCATCTAACCTTCAGATTGTGCTAACTGCAGCATATTCAGACATCAGATCTCAGATCCAGGAAATTTACCTCAAAGATGGTAAAAATTCATGTAGCATTAGACAACAGCTACTCTTCCATACTTTAAAAACTCAAACTTGGCTTAAAAAGTACTCACATGTGATTCAGGAGGCTGAGAGAAACTCCAAAGACCATATGAACAACACCCAATATCACAGACATCTTCATTTTAAAGGAGTTAAGAAACGTAAGTTTGTTTGTAGCAATATTCCATATCTGAGGGGAAAAACAGATAATTTTGGTTGAGATCATAACATACGGGAATATTGACAGATAGTTAGCTAGCAGCTTTCTCTACTCTCGTCCCTTAAAATATCACTTTTCAATCAAGCCATTCAACTAATCTACAATTTTCAGAAGTTAAAGTTTGGAAATAAATATCAGGAAGCAATTTTCTTTTAGCTTTCAAAAACAAGATGTGGTTTACTGGGATATTTGCTTTCAGGATCTTCACGCAGTAAACTATGACGTGCACAAACTGAATTCTGTAATAAGCCAATACTTCTATTTAAGCACATGGGATGACCAAATCAAACAGAACCAATGGGATTATAATCCATTTTCCATCTGACCACAATCAAAACGTACATTTGAAGTCAAAAGGTAAGTAATACGAAAATAATTAAACACTAATTCAATCGGATGCCTAACTTGGTATTTAAGCATTCTAGCCCTATACTTCTAAATGTAAAAACAGTTAAAAATAGTGGCAGGATAATTTGTTTTTTTTTTGAACTGTGAAAATTCAAAAACAAGCATAGAATTAACTTACGGGATCTATTCCAAAGGGGTATGGCCCATTAAAGACGTTAGGCTGAGCAGGGTCCAGCTGAAGATGTTGATTACCTTGAAGGGTTTTCTCCCTGTGAAGAGAATGTTATTAAAATATTATTAGACCTAAACCAGCATTGATGTAATTTCTAATTGATCAATGCTGAAGCCAGAGAGATAAGAATTCCCAAAACAGGCACACACAATAACAAACAAAAATAAACAAGAACCGAGGATGCTGGAAATGTGAACCAAAAACAAATTGCTGGAGAAACTCAGCAGCTCTGGCAGCATTTGTAGAGGGGAAGTAGAGTTAAAATTTCAGGTCCAGTTACTCTTCTTCAGAACAACTTTCTATCTCTCTAGGGTATAGCATTCCAAAAGTTAACTCAGCTGAGTGAATCCTCCTCATCTTAGCTCTAAGTGGCTTGCCCTATATTGAAACTCTCTCTGCTGGTTCTACAACCCGCAGCCAAAGGGAACCATCTTATCTTACATCTATGCTGTATGACTTTACACTTATTCACATTGTATTCCATCTGCCACATCCTTGCCTACTCAGTGTCTATCCAAACCTCCTTGAAGCCTCTTTGCATCCTGCTCACAATGCAAATCCCCACCTAGGTTTGTGCTTTCTGCAAGTTTGATTGTGTTGCATCTGAAACCCATAGAGTCAATGTACTTGATTTTGGCATCAGATTTTAGAAATGCATTGTTTCCTAGCATAAATATACTTCACATTGTATCAAAGAATTCATATTAAAAGAATTCAAAATCAACACAGCAATGTTATCTTGGTTATACAAAACTTACGTCCAGTTTCCTATTGGGTGAAACATTGGTCTAACACTCCACGACGAACCAAACATGTTGAGTGTCTTTGCGAAGCAGTCATTGTATATTAGGCCAGTATACACAGAGAAAATCCCCATGAGTAAAATCATGTAGCGACCACTGAAGACAGTTCTGAAAATCTATCAGAACAAAGCTTAATTAAAAATAAATTTTAAAATAAGTTGCCACATTGTTGCACCAATACAAGGCACTGAATTACTTTAACATATTAGCAATTGTGCTCACTCCGTGGATTAAATAAAGCTATTTCAAGACTGAGGGTGCTAAAAAAATAAAAACTTACCCATTCACCACATCTCTGGTGTCTTCCTAACTCCTCAGGTAGATTACACACAAGACTGACCATCTGTCCAACATACCTCAAAATTGTGAATACTCATCAAGATTAGAAATCTGCATTCCTTTCTGGGCCTAGTCTATGTACAAAATATATCCAATCTCAGACCTTCCTCTTATCATTGATATTACACACGTGGATTCCTGTCACTTTTTGCTCACTTCCATTCCTGCCATACTATGATCTTTAACTGGCAAATTTTAACACTAAAATTGAATCACTTGTTAGGCCTCAGTTGGATTATGGTGTACAGTTCTGGGCACATTATAGAATTATATTATTAATGAATGCGGGCAGAGTGCAAAGAGTGGTCTCCAAGAATGGTTCCTGGAATGAGAAACCTCAGGTTATAAGGACAGACAAAGAAGCTGAGACTGCTGTCCGTGGAACGAAGGCGAAGGAAAGCAAGAACGCAAGCAAGCAAGAACGCAAGAAAAAAGAGGAAATCTGATAGAGATTTTCAAAATCACAGGCGGGCTGGAAAGGGTAGCTAAGGAAAAACTGTTCTGCTAACAAGAACAAAACGGCATAGTTTTCAAATGATTTGCAAAAGCAGCAAGGGGGGAAATGAGGAAATATTACATTCAGCAAATAGTTAGGGTGCTGAATGCACTGCCTAGAATGTGGAGGAGGCAGGTACAATTGAGTCATTCAAGAGGGCATTGGATTGGAATAATATGCAAGGATATGGGGAAAAAGCAGGACGTTGGCACTAGGTAATGACACACATTTAATGAGCCAACAGCCCTTTCTTCTGCACCGTAACACTCAAATTAAATCCAGAGAAATTGGAGTCTCTGCTGTTAACGTAGAAATCAGAGATGATCCAAAAAGATAAAGTAGGAACCAATATGAAAGCAGAACCAGGTATCAGAATTGAAGACAGGAGGCAGAACCCCACTTAAAGACCAGAGGATCATAGCAGCAGGGTTGGAGCAGATCAACTTCCATTTATATAGTGCTTGTTATGTATTCAATATCCCAAGATGGTTCACACTAGCATGATCCCAAAAAGTGAACGCTGAGCAATATAAGTTAATATTAGAGTATGTGAGCAAAAGCTTTGTCAAAGGAGTTGGGTATTAAAGGCGTATGTTATATAAAGCAGTAAAGTTTAGAGGAAGAATTTCAGAACTTAGAATGAATTGTGAATGCAATGAAACACACTTTTCCGTGTCACTGCAATAAATTTATTGTACATGAATAGCCTGTCAAGTATGATGTAAAACAAAAGCGCATTAAAAAAAAAGTTGTGTTATTACTTTGAGTAGTTCTAACTTCCCAATGCCTTTTTAAGGAAGGATGCAGAACAATAAAATGCTAGTAATTATCCAGTTGCTACAAGACATGAATCCTTAAAAATTTGTTAATACTCTGGACCAATAATTGAAATGTAGCTCAGGGTACTTTGGGGTAACATCTAACATGAGAAATTGCTATCATGTTTTAAGCCATAAAAATCCCCAACCAAATTGCCCGCTATTTAAAAATACCTCATTTTCACTTTTCTGGGACAGTATGCGGCTCTCTCTCAACACCATCCACACAGCGAAAGCAGTCATTAAGATGCCATGGCCAAAGTCCCCAAACATAACAGCAAAAAGAAAAGGGAAGGTAATAATTGTGTATGGAGCTGTAGAAAACAAACATAATTAGAACATTAACCGGTTTATCCTTAAAATAATCAGAAAGTCAAGATTACAGAAAAACAGATGTTTTGATATGAAACAACACGTCTGTTCAACGTGACTTCTTACCAGGATTAATTTCCCTGTAGGTGCCAATTCCATATGCATCCACAATGTTTTGAAAGCCATAAGTAAATTTGTTGGTTTTGTTGTAAGTTGGAGGAGTTTGGTTGGTTTGCATCCTGTTCAAGATGGATGGGACTGTTGATCCACTGCGTTCCTGAAAATAGAAACTTCAGTACAGAAGCCGTCTAAATACATTTACACTAACTGAAGCTAAATTAGAGAGTGGAGATGTTGGGGGAGCTCTCAAGTATCTCAAATGACTACCATGTTTAAAGGTCTAACTATACATTTTTGCAATATTATAGCAGATCAACTTCTATTTATATAGTGCTTGTTGTGTATTCAATATCCCAAGATAGTTCACATGAGCATTATCCCAAAAAGTGAACGCTGAGCAATATAAGTAAATATAGAAAGGCTAAACTTTCCTACCATTTTCATGACAGGAAATGGACACTTCCTCTCCATTAAGTTCCATGAATGAAAATGGTAGCAACAAACAGATTCAAGCTTGTGAATAAAATCAGGGTTTTAAAAACTCCTGACCTTCCCTGATCTTTTCAATCCTTTTAGAATCTGAGATTTTTCATGGAATTTATAATCACTTGGATTTGTCACTTACTCGGAGTGTTACCTGAGATACAGGAGTCAAGGAGGTGTAATACAAAACAAAGGGCAGGAAATGCATGGATCATCTACTGCAAGTTCTCCTCCACGTACCATCTTGACTTGGAACTATAACCGCTGTTCCTTCACTGCCACTAGATCAAAATCCTGGAACTCTGTCCCTAACAGCACTTTGTGTACCTGCATCACATGGATGGTAGTGATTCAAGGAGGTGGCTCACCATCTCATTCTGAAGAGTAATTAGGATGGACAACAAATGTTGGTCTAGCCAACAACTACCACATCCTGTGAAAAGAAAAAGAACTTCTGAATTTCAGAGTTCACTTACCGTACCCCTGCGGAGGGCAAACTGAATTGAATCCAAGTCAGTAACTGGACACCAGACTTCAGCAATTAGACATTTTTGAGTTACATCAATATTACAGAGGTTAAGGGTATGATAGATGGCCTTCATTTTTCGTACTTTAATAAACCATACACGAATAGTCTTTGCAGCTGCCTGCAGAACCCTCTGACGATGATCCTCAGTCTGATTTAAGACCTGGAGAGGACAAATATGTTTATGAAGGAGGTTCACATTTACAGAATTTCTGCATCATACCTCAGTAATGGCCATGAGTTTGCTCCATGCAATAAGTTACAGAGCCCAGCCCAACCAACGGTGCACATGAAGAGGATAAATGAGCCAAGAAATCAAAAAGCATTAAAGGAAAAAAATTGAACATAACCTAACATTTATATTTCACACATCTCCAACAATCCACTCCAAGTTGATTTTTCAAAATAGCAAAGTGTATTGCTGGGTAAACCTTTCCCTGGGTAAAGCAACACATTTGTACATACTGGCCATAACCTGATACAAAAGCAAAATGCCACAGATGCACGAGATCGTAAATAAAAACAAGCACTGCTAGAGAAACACAGCAAGCGTGGCAGCAACTGACAGGAACGCAGTTAACATTTCAAGTCCAATAAATCTTTTTAAGTTCCAAAGAAATGTCTTGGTACTTGGAATATTAGCTTTGTTTCTCTCTACACACACAAACACCTGTTGAGTCTCTCCAGTATTTCCTGTTTTATTTCTGGCCATAAAACAAACAAACTTTATACTTAAAAACACAAATCGTCTTGTTGTTCTCAAACTTCTTCTAATCTGGTTAAAAGATTGACACAGCACTCACAATAGAACGGAAGTTATCTAAAACTTGCAAAATTGACGACAGGAATGTTAAATTTACACTAACATTTAATGCTTGAATGACTGAGTTTTAACGTAACATGATTACGACGCACACAGACATGCAACTATAGTTTCCAAGTAAACTTTCAATTGGCAAACAGCCCTGTGTCTACTAAATTAGGGGCTGAATGTCATCTGAAACATATTGGTTGAAAATTCCCATACACGTAGCTGGTGAATTAATTCTTTGGGTGACTATTGAAGCACACAAATGTCTCACCAATGGACTGAATAATGGGATGGAATAAAGAAGAATTAGATAATAATATTAGCACTGCTTTTTCAAATATTCCGAGAGTATGATACCAAAAAAGTAAGATACCACAACAGTAAAATAATTCAAAATCATAACTTAGAACAGTTTGTAACTGACCAGACAGCAGGTTATATTAGACTTCATATTATATAGTGTCATAGAATTAATTAATAATGTTGTCGGTGAGACCACATCTTGAATAATGTGTGCAGTTTTGGTCTCCTTACTTAAAGGTTGTAAATGTATTGGAGGCAGTTAATAGAATGTTTATTAGACTGATATTGAAAGTTATCTTATAATGAATCAGCAAGTCAGGCTGTGCTTGTTTCCACTGGAGTTTAGAATAGTGAGGGGTAATGAGTATTTATAAAGGATAAGGTGGCATGGTGGCTCAGTAAGTGTCAAAGATCCTGACAAGTCTTCATAAGGTTAATGTGGGAAGAATGTTTCCACTTGTCCACCAGGCACTGTTTTAAAATTAAGGGTCACTTTCTCAGGACAGGGACGAATAGGAACTTCTTCTCTCAGAGGGTTGCACAATTTTGTAACTCTCATCCTCAAAGTCGTGGAAGCAGGGTCATTAAATACTTTAAAGACAGAGGTGAACAGATTCGTGATAGGCAAGGGAGTCAAAAATTATCAGAGGTCTTTTGAATTTGACATTCACACCAAAAGATCAGATGCACTCTTATTGAACTTCGGAGTAGGTTTGAAGGACTGAACGATCGACTGCTGTTTCTATTTTGTATGCACGAATATTTAGCCTTAAAAAGGGAAAAGCAAATACCATTTGCATTAATATCTTTAAAACTTTATAGAAAAATTGCAAAGCAATTATGAAGTACTGATGAATACCATACCATTTGAAGATCATCAATTCGTGTGTTGACACCAGCTAACATTTCCTTCCTTTCATTAGGAGTTTCTGGGCAGGGATAAAGGGAGGCTCGAAACCTGTAAGAATGTGGTTCTCAGTAAATTGTTATTGCCAGTGTCTTTAAGTACCTCATCCTTCTTACTGCACACCAGTAATGCCTGCAGATTACCAGAAAATCCTAGATCACTTTTTAACTTCAAACTGAGGTTATTTTAGCTTGAAACCTAGCTAAAGAAAATTTATAATATTCACAAATAAATAATCATATCTATCAAGTAAAATGATCAGCTCTTCCTAGAGGTGACAGCATAGTGGTAAAGTCATGGGACTAATAATCTAGTAGCTCACGCTAATGCTTCAACACTGGCATGATGGATAAAGGGTTAACTGTTCAGTCAATGGAAATTAACGCATATAAAAACAGGAAAAAAAATTAGTCTCACCCTTCACAAATTTTCTTCACTCGATTTTTCAATTGGTCACCTTGAAAAAAGATGATGAAGACAGATTTGTCTACTTGACCTCCCTGAAAAGAAAACAAATATTAATCTCAACTCCCAGTTTTACCAGGATAGCAAAACTGTTAAAAATTAAGCCATGCTAAGATTTGCAAACATTTTTGAGACCTTGCCATTGTGAAGGGTCAAACAAGGGGAAAGTTGCCTGTTCTGCTGTGTCAGAAGATAGTCACTATCTGTAGCAGTTGATGGTATCTACAGTTTTTTTAAACTTGTGGACAATACTGACAAATGTTGGTGCTTATCCCTGGCTGTTAAAAATTACAATGTGGTTAACACCACAAATTTCATCCAAACTATTGGGCATGAAAGGTAATTCAACTTATATCATTTGCATCATGTTCAATTGACTATATTACTTCGTAGTGTGCAGCCATTTAATTGTTGCCAGGAGCATTATTATTTTTAGCATCCAAAACAAAAATCCAAGAAATGTCATAATTAGCAATAATTTGGTTTATTATTATACTGTCCATGGCTCCACCCTGACTAATGCTTCTCCTGGCATTTGCTTGCTTACTTAAAAGATTAAAAACAGCCAAATGTAACTCAACCAGTAACCAAATAATTGTATGCCTTCCACTGTCATCACTGTGTACACCCTGGGCACTTAACAGTCTACATCTCAAATATCTGCATACCTACTATATAAAACAGTCATGTGCTTAACATACAGCCTCTTAAAATCTGTATTACTTGAGTGAAGTCAATGGCAAAAACAATCAACTATCGCACACATTTAAGAGGATCAGTAGATTCAACCTAAATTCAAGCAGAATAGATTAGGGATTGCAGAATCTTGACAGCCAATACAAATTTGTTCTTAAACTCAAAAGAAACCATATAGTTAGCTCCTAGAAGAACCGCCCATTTTTACTCCTGGCTATACATACTACATTTGCATATATTCTCCCAGTCAAAAGATAACAAAGTTCAATATTTCCAGCAGAGGTACCAACCTCACAAGTAACTAAAATTGCAAGAGCAATTATTCGAAGTTTACATTCATGCTGCCACATTCTATAGGCCTGGCGGTAGGGTTACAACTTCTGATAAGTGCCTGTAATAGTCTTACACTGGTTCATCCCTGTAAAACTGTGAGCTTAAAATCACTGGATTTCAAAATTATTCTATAATCAGCGACGTAAAAGAATTAAACCACAGGAGTACAGGCTACTTTTTTTGCTGTTATGGATTGATTCTTGAGTTAATTATTTATTAGGATTTCACCCAGGGAACTTACAGCTACAGGATCCTCCAAGGGATTTTCAATTTCAGCTTGGCGTAAAAAGACATTTCCTCTGCACACACGCCACAACATCCGTTCAAAGGTAGGGATCCTCTCTCGGTTTATCACTCCAGCCACAAAGCTGTATATAAAAGTATGTGCACTGTCATAAACCTGTATATCTGCACAGGCAAAATATAAGGTGCATTCCAGTATCATGCATCAAAGACTGTGAAACAGGTCAAACAGACCAATGTTTTTATTATTAATTTTTAAAAAATTTCTCTAATTCACACAATTAGCATTATTCAGTTTGATTTAATTTTGAACAAATTCTGATAAGGTTTTCTGCATAAAATACCCAGCTGGACAAAACAAATTTGTGGAATTTATCTTTAAACTTACTGTTCTTATGACTTTCAGAACGGCAAGCTCATTGCTTAGTTTTACTTTTTTTTTTAAAAAGGTCTTTCAAGTCACCCCCTTCTTAAAAAGCACATGCTATAACATTACCCATGGGGAGTACATAACAGCCTCAGAAACTGAATTATTTTAAAGCACACCAAAACCACAGAAAAAGAAAAAAAGTTTCAAAAAAAACTTGAGACCTAAACAGCAGTTTTCAAAACAGCAAAATACTTACATAGCTTTGTAAATTGCAAGATGTAGCTATAAAATTAGAGTTGGGTCTGTGTTTGGTCACAGGACAAGCTTAAATGAGTGTGAATTTACACCTCCTGAACGACTCAGGCATTCAGACAGGCAAGGACCAAATTGTTAAAACTCAATCACTGAGCAATGGACTCCAGCTGAGAAGGGCCACAATTACCAATGTTTAAAGTGGTAAAATTAAAAAAATGGTCCTGGAGGGTCTACTTGTAGTGCAGTGGCAGTGTCCAGACCCCCAGGCTGGGAGGCCTGGGTTCATGTCACACATGCTCCAGAGGTGTGTAATTACATCTCTGAATAAGCTGATTAGGAAAAATAGGTGAAATAAAATGAAACAATGGTCCTGGAATGCATTTGTAATGACTGTCCTCGGTAATTGGTTAGTTTGTGAAGAAGATCATGCAATATTAAGCTAGTCATTTGTTTTTCAAGGAATTGCTTTTAGAGGACCAGTCAGCAACCAGAAAGTCCTTGAAAGGGTAATTGCAAGGGGAGAACATGCAGTGTCTTTCTTTCTCCACCCATTCTGCAAACTTATGCTCTGCCTGCATCTGACCAGCCGCCCACCACAGACAGCTTCCTCAGTGTGTGCCAAGCAGTTGATGAATCCAAAAGGAAGAGGCAGGGATTGTTTCTCAACATTTAAACTATCCACAAGATCACCAAACCCGACCTGAAACCATCCTAGTTAATCCATAAGATCCATATGCAATTTTTTTTTTTGAGATAAACAATTTACTCTGCTCTCCATCTTTGCAGCTTTAGATGTGTACCTCCTCTATAAATGCATGTGAACAAGAGTTGGAGCTTTTTAAAATATATTTCTGATATTAAATACAATAAATACTGTTTCATTTTCTTTAATTTGACAAGAAAACCCATCTGTGAATTCGTTTTAAAAAAGAAGTCCCAACACACATGATAGCTGAACACACATTGAATCAGGAAGCAAATTCTTAAAGCACCAGTTACAGTAAGACAGGTGAACTGAAGACTCTCACTATCACTGATCACCTGGCCATAATATCAAGCAAACTATTTCAGATGTCTTATGATAGATGCATTAGAAACATGCAGATAACTTTCCCAATTCAGAGCCTCCCAAGCAACTGAAAATTAATGACTGGCTGAGGAAACATAGGCAAATAGGGAGAGAAAACCATGCAAACTCGATATCCAATCAAACGGAAAGTATATATTTGGGAGGCAATGGCCTGGTGGTATTATCACTGGACTGTTAATCCAGAGACCCAGATAATGTTCTGGGGAACCAGGTTCGAGTCCCGTCACAGCAGATGGTGGAAGTTGAATTCAATAAATTATCTGGAATTAAGAATCTAATGATGACCAAGAATCCATTGTCGAGTGTTGGAAAAAATCCATCTGGTTCACTTATGTCCTTTAGGGAAGGAAACAGCCATCCTTACCTAGTCTGGCCTACATGTGACTCTAGACCCACAGCAATGTGGGTGACTCTAAACTGCCCATTGGGCAACTAGGGATGGGCAATAAATGCTGCCTGGTCAGTGACACCCTCATCCCGTGAATGAATATAGAAAAACAATATAAAAATCACAGAAATATGTAATCACAAAGAAACTGTACTTTAAAATGTTTGAGTCTACTTTTAAAATCAAAGGTTGTCCCTAATTTCCAAAGTCATCTGAACTCATCTTGTTGGCCTGAAATGCAAGCATACAATCAGAGTGTCACGAAGTGAGCAATTTTAGCAGAGGAATTACATTTCAGCTTCCACAGGAAGAAAATTATAGATTAATACTAATTAACAAATTAAGTTACCCAAGTCTCAAGGGGGCACCGCGTCCCAGCTCACTTGGCTCCAGCAGGGAAGACGATTCCTCCAATAGGTCCGGATCAGACATCTGCTGATGATGCAATTCAGCCTGAATTCACAAATCAATTAACACACTATTTAAACCAGTTAGTGGCATGCAGGGGAACCAGGAACCAGGAGAAAAGATAAAACCATAACTGCAAAGTAAGTGGCCACAAAAAAAAAAGAAAAAAAAACCACAGTGAACATTGAAAACAATGGACTTTGAATAGAGAAATGCAAGCAAAGATGCGCAGGAAAATTTAAAAAAAAGACTAACAGAATCATTCGAGCGGGTTCTTGGATATGGCTGAAAGACTCGGGTGAGAAGATCAGAAAATTGATACGAAGTTGCTAAAACATACATGCCATTGACAAGATAATCACAGAAGTGGAAATTCACTAAGTAAATCAGTAGGATACTGACATAGTACCAACAAGCTAATTTCTTTGGCACTTTTTTGCTGAATTTTGGAGAAACTATTCTGATAAAATACTTGCTTCTGCAAATTGGAGGACAGAAAGAAGTCTGTTAGTTGGAACCCAAGTCACGAGGCAATAGATTTATTGCAAGAGTAGCACCTTTTACTAGCAATTTCCATTCACCTACAACTAGTATAGTTCAAATACGTAGCATTAAGGAGTGGTCTACAATCTTATTTCTCCGAAAACCTGAAGATCAGTCACAATGCTCAAGGGATATTTGATCATAAAAAGAGGTTATAATAAATTAAAAGTCCAGTTGAAAGTCATTGATAAATATTTTTGCTTCAATAAATGTTAAAAATGAGTTCCACTTTTGCACACCCTTTTACAGAAAAAAAAATTACTCCACAACAGGTGTTTCATTGAAAATCAGCACCTCTAGTACAAATTGTGATCATTTGAATTTTGGCAGCGTTTGATCTGATGACTGCAAAACAAAAAGCTTTGACTACATGTCTCTCTTTTCAGCAATATTCAAATTAGAAATGCATTTTCTAACATAAATGTACTGGAAGATTAATGTGTTTTGCATTAAATGTTTTCTGTAAGCAATATCAGTCAGATCTGCCATGTACAAATATAGTGCAAAGTTATCCTTACTCTGTTCAATGGCGTGCTTTAATGTTCACCAGTAAATATTCTAATTTACATTAAAATGCCTTTTGTTTAAATCACATCAATATAGAGCAAATGTAGAATTAACAGGTTTGTACTAAGAACTTGTATCTAATGTTGGGATGGTCCAAAACACTGGCTATGTTAGGCATATAATCTTATGCCCAATTTCAACATGCAAATGAAAGTCAAAAACACTTTGTATACTAGATTTTACAGAAATTAGAACACATTTTAATTGCTATTAAGACCACGTTTAAGACCACCGTCTGTCGAGATATCTCTTGAATCAGAGAAAAATCCTCTTTGCCAAAGCGTTGCTATAAATTTGATGTTTGCACTATCAAAGCAGTACTGAATCATTAGAAAAGCTTGTCAAACGGAAATCATAATTTACAAATCCTGAAACAGTGAGGATTACTCATCAATATTTAATACCTACTTTCAAAAGACTGATGGGTTAATATAAAATTTGAAGAATTGCAAGAGAGTGTGCACATTTTTTTTTGGGTAGGGAATGCAATGCATGCATTTTAACAATATGACAACACCTTTAGGATAATTTTTCAGTGCTAGAATAAAGTGTGTATCCTCAACATATTGGAGTCAGTCATATTAGCAAGTTACATCAAGGATTCCCTGATGAATTAAACACAGGTGTAAGGCATGAGAAAATGCCAAAGTAGAGTACTGAGAACTGGGAAACTCATTTCCAATCAGATTTCTTTCACAAAATGTGTGCATAGAAATAGCATGAAGGTATTTTGTTTGGATTTTCCTCTTCACCCAAAGTCTTCTGGCCTGAACCGAACCTCTGCTTCAATTTGTTAAGGGATTGAACAAATGCTTCTTTTTCTAAATTTCCACTACTGTTTTTAAAAAAAAACAAAAAAAATGACAGAAAAATTCACACATGGGATAAAAATTATTTGGAGAGAATAATTTAGAAGTTGGCTGCCATTCCGTATTTATTAAATGCACATCTTTAAATGCTGTTGCTCTTTATTAAATATGATAACTATTACTGGCCAAATATAATTGGAAAGATTACTATTCAAATCATTTTGCCAAAAACTTACAACAAAACAAGTTCAAAAAGCTGAATCAGCTAGTTAAATGAAGAACTTCTAAGTTCAGACAAGCCATTTTGCTGGATGTTAGACAGCCGGCAAAAATGTTCTCCCATGGTGGTCACTCTTAACATCTGAATAAGCGAACACTAGCTTAAGAAAAAGTGCTTTCCTCAGTTCTCCCAGTGGCCTACGTGCGACCAAATGTCCATTCCCACTTGTGGAAGAAATGAAGAAGTAGAAGAAAGCACACAAGCCAAAGCAGAGGCAATAGTTTTGAGATTTATACTTATTTTTCGGCCAATTATCATTTTAAAAATGTAATATATGATGCATATTCTACAAAATGTTAGATTAGTTAGCACAATCCTAAACAAAGTTACTACTTTATCACTGATATGTTAGATGAGAAGGAATGAAATCCTGGCCAAGTTTTACTAACTTATAGGAATAGAGCATTACTATCATATTATAATAAGAACAAGTTCAAAAAGCATCCAAAGATGTGCAGCTTAGGTAGATTGGCCATGCTAAATTGCCCATAGTGTCCAGACTAGGTGAATAAGCCATGGGAAATTCAGGGTTACAGGGACAGGGTTGGGCAGTAGGTCTGGGTGGGATGCTCGGAGGGTCAGTGTGGACTCTATGGGCTGAATGGTCTGCTTTCACACTGTGGGAATTCTACTCCATGATATAGCACCTGTCACATTTATGCAATGAGTAAGACCCAACCATGAATCAATAAAATATCCCATCTGACCAGTTGGTAAATAACTTCAGCCTCAAATCTTTGAGGTAAGAGAAGACTGGTGCCATTATATACCCTGAGATGTAACAATGTCAATGTTTCATGGTTTGAACGTACTTACTGAAATTCATCGACTCATTTTGGAGATTGATAATTTTCCCACATTTAGATTTGACTATTTCATTGCCTGTAGCCTTCTGAAAGTATCGTTTAACTTTGGAAATACACAATTAATTATATTCTTTGTTAAATCAGTTTAACTGGGAAAGAATACTCTCAGCTCTCACTTGGTAAAATTAATATCATTTTGCATTCAAAAAAAATGAGAGTTCTATGTTATGAACAAAGTATGTTAACAGATTTAAACAAAATTAGCCATTTCTCCAAAAGCAGGCAATACGCAAGACAAATTTTGAACTGAGCTTGAAGTTGGATACTAACTAGAGTCAGCTTGGCTCCAGAGTCAGAAAATGGACCCACTACCGCACCAGGTTAGTGCAAAATTTTCCAGTTCCCATGTGCAGTCAGACCTGGAACTAGAACCCTCATGGTGTAAAATCAATCATGCTTCTGTTCACATATTTGTATTGATCCCTTGCAGCTGAAGGATGGTGACCAGTTCTAGCTGGATGAAAACCCAGGTTCTCAAGCTATTAAGGTAGATTACTAGCTGCAGTATGACTTGTTTGCAGGTTTTATGGAAAACCGAAATTAGGTATAAATAAAACTCAGGAAACAATGTGGAATTAGGAATGCAATGTCTATCAATTTTGTGTACTAGCTATTCAAGTAACATAGTAAAGATATATAATGCCAGATGTGCCATCATATCACAAACATGTAACATATAACATGCTTAAAAATGAAGACATGGCATGCAACTTCTAAATCTACAGTTAAAAGTCTTCAAAGCAAATCTGCTGTGACCAAGAAAAGGGCTTGTCTTGCACACTGAAATCAGTTATATTCTGTTACAAAATTAAACAAAGCAAACTCGACATTAGAGCAAGCCTCTAATGTAAACACACCATTTCCATAAGTGAAGTGGTTTAGATTGGAATCTGTATTTATCTATAAATCTTGCCTGTAGTGAATCTATATGACAGTCATTATAAATCTATTTATGTTTTTCTGATTTTGAAAGCACAATACCAAATTTCAGTATTCAATCATCCAGGTTTATGTATAGTCCCACAGTACCACAAGAGGCCAAGGCACAACAGAGGGGCAGTTTTCACTGTATGTGCAAATACCAACTCTTTGGTCTTTTCCAATGTGCCTAATGAACAGCACAGACAATGGATACAATATTCTTATGAATGCATGCAATTTAAAATAAATCCAGAATGTAAAAATAGGTATTGAGTTGCCGTAGTGAATCATTTGCTTTTGTGATACAAACGTGCATGCGTAGCACTTCCACATCTGCTCAATAAGCAGCACCTACTTACCAAAAACAACACTGCAGTAATATAAAGGTGCTTCCATATGGGTATAAATTCTCAGTGC